GCGAGAGTTCCGTTCCTGAGTTCGGGGGCCTCTCTGGCCAGGGGTTCTCGGAAAACTTATGGAGAAATATCGAGCGGGAGCCCTTGCCGCAGTGTCCGGGCCCCCACCGACTTGCCTAAATGTTGGGAAAGTCTCGAGCAAGAGCGCCGTTCCTGAGTTCGGGGGCCTTCTTGGCCAGGGGCTCGCGGACTAAATCGTGAGGACGCATCGAGCATGAACCCTTGTCATCGTGGCTGGGCCTCCGCCAGCTTAATCGAATTGCGAGGAAGTCTCGAGCGAGAGTGCCGTCCCTGAGTTCGGGGGCCTCTCTGGCCAGGCTGTTTCGGGGTAAGTTGTGAGGAAGTATCGAGCGGAAGCCGTTGTTGTCGTAGCTGGGCCGCCAAGGCCGGCGTCGAGGCGAGAGCGCGCGGAACCGTTTCCAGAGATCACTTATAATAATAATTCGTAAGAAATGAGTGCTGAACTGGAACATCAACAATCATTTTAAGACGGTTCGCTCTTATCTGCTCGCGTGTCATTCAATATGCATATCCCCAACCCTGGATGCCCGCCCTGTTCGTCTTCGATCGTACCCCGTCTTGGGAGGTAGATTCATTCCAAGCCACGTGTGGTTGGTGAAGCCCTTGAAAACGAAGGATAACAGATAACGGGGGAGAGCGAGGACGAAGGGATCGGAGGAAGGGAGGGGAGGGGCAAGAAGGAGGGAGGACGAGGATTTGCGCTGTGAGTGGCGATTCAGCTTGCGCCATGGCTTGCGCCAGCCACTCCAACACAGGTTAACAAGAAGTTTCGCCATGGGTCGCGCCATAAACAGCGCCACGTACCACCCCCTTGAAAGAACATATTGTGGATATCCCCACGGGGGGGCGCACAACTGCGAACTGGTGTCAGCAACAAATTTCGTGGAACCTTGAAAAGAAGCGGGATGTTGGGATAGTGGGGCGGGAGGATAGTGAGAACTGCAACCGTGTCGAGAGGAGCGCGGGGACGTGGAGTGGATTGGGATGGAGTGGACAAGGGTAGGCAGGAGGAGGAGCGTCAAGGAGTGGAGAAGAGGAGCCGGGAGGAGTGCGGAAGAGCGGGGGGCGCACGGAGGAATCTGGAGGAGGGGCTGGGAATAATTTGGGAGAAATGCGGAATGCGAGCGGGAAGGGGTGGAAATTGTTGGGGTGGGATGGGGTGGCCTGGGGCGGAATGGGCGGAATGCGACGAACTGAGGAATAGAACAATGGAACACGAAGGACATGAAAATTAATATAAAGGGAAAGAGTAGACAAGACTGGGAAAGAACATCGAAAAGTGGGGGCAGGTGGATGCGAGCGGAGACTGGTGCGGAAACAAGGCGCGGGGGGATTTGAAGGCGCCCGAAAGCCTCCTATGACCTCTGGGGGGCCTCGGAATGGCCCCGATTGACCACCGAGCACTTCCAGAGGCTCCGGAAATCTGCGGGAGCGCCTCTGGGGCCTCGTCGAGGGAGATCTTCATTCGAAGCCTGCAGAAGAACCCGGGCCAGTGGAACACGCGCGTCTCAATGGCCGGCAAGCCGGGCCCCGGCAAGCGGCGGACCGTCGGCCTGGCCAGTGGCAGCGCTGGCGACGCACGCGCCGACCCGCGGCAACCCGACCCCAAGATGGACAGACAGCGGGCTCACCACGACGACGGCGACGACCACCGCGACGCAAGGCTGCAAGGCTGGCCCAGGATGCGCGCCGAGAGTTCGGCAGCCATCTGGGTTCGCGCGACCAGACAGAGAGAACAGTTCGACATGACAGGACCTGGCTACAGTCAGAGCGTGAATTACCTCCCCCGCTTTCGCTTCCAGGCAAAACCAAGTCATACCACGCGCCTCCTCGTCAAGCGGCCTGACCAGTACAGGCCGCAGTTTGGCATCGTTTGGTATCTCTTGGAAGCGAGGGTGGTCAAAAGCGAGGTAGGTTTGTTTTCCCCCTATACAGAGGTAACATCATTCCCATTAACCGCCGGACCCGTTTGACCGCTACGCAAGCTTCTTTGCGATAGCACCGGATCTTTGAAACGCGCCGAGGAGGTCGTTCGGGCCAGTGAGCGCAGGAGCGACCGAGCGCCGCAGGAGGCAAATTAAGGCCGCGACGGCCAGCGAGGAAGCCACTGAGAGCAGGAGCGAGCCGGAGCCAGGGAGGGCAGAAAGAAGGCCACGAAGGGCAGCAGCGGGGCAACGACGCGCAACCATGGAGCGCGCGCCGCGCTGCGGCCACGAAGGCAGCTCAAGGGCCCGGTGGGGCAAATTGACAATGGGGGGCACAGTGGAGTACGAGGGGCAGCGAGGGGGCCACTGAGGGCAGCAACGGGGCCACGAATGGGAGCGAAGGGGCCACGGAGGACAGCGGGGCCGCGAAGTACAGCGAAGGGACCGCGAAGGGCGACAGCGGGGCCACTGAGGGCAGCAATGGGGCCGCGAAGGGCGCAAGCGAGCGGGGGCCACGAAGGGCATGCGCATACGGGGCCGCAGAGGGCAGCGACGGGGCCACTGAGGGCAGCAATGGGGCCGCGAAGGGCGCGAGCGAGCGGGGGCCGCGAAGGGCATGCGCATACGGGGCCGCAGAGGGCAGCGACGGGGCCACTGAGGGCAGAAACGGGGCCACGAAGGGCAACGAGGGGGCCGCAAACGGCGACAATAGGGCCACGAAGGGCAGCGAAGGGACCACGAAGGACGCGAGCGGCGGCCACGAAGGGCATGCATATATGGGGCCACAAAGGGCGACAGCGGGGCCGCAGAGGGCAGCAAAGGGGCCACGAAGGTATCGAGGGGGCCACACATTGCAAGCAGAGCGACGAAGGGCAGCAATGGGGCCGCGAAGGGCATGCATATGGGGCCACGACGGGCGCGAACGAGCGGGAGCCACGAAGGGCAATCGTATAGGATGCCGCAGAGGGCACCGACGGGGCCGTTGAGGGCAGAAACGGAGCCACGAAGGGCAGAGAGGGGGCCACGAATGGCGACAGCGGGGCCGCGAAGTGCATACATATGGGACCACGACGGGCGCGAACGCGCGGGGGCCACGAAGGGCATGCATATGGGGCAAGAAAGGGCGACAGCGGGGCCACTGAGCGCAGAAAGTGGGCCACGAAGGGCAGCGAGGGGGCCGCGAAGGGCGACAGCGGGGCGACGAAACGCATGCGTATGGGACCACGAAGGGCGCGAGCGAGCGGGGGCCGCGAAGGGCAATTAATCTGGGGCCACAGGAGGCAGCGACGGGGCCGCTGAGGGCAGCACCGGGGCCACGAAGGGCAGCGAGGGGGCCACAAAGGGCGACAGCGGGGCCACGAAGGGCATGCACATGGGGCCACGACGGGCGCGAGCGAGCGGGGGCCACGTAGGGCATTCGAGTATGGGGCCACAAAGGGCGACAGCAGGGCCACTGAGGGCAGCAAAGGGGCCACGAAGGGCAGCAAGAGGGCCACGAAGGGCGACAGCGGGGCGACGAAACGCATGCGTATGGGGCCACGACGGGCGACTGCGAGCGGGGGCCACGAATGGCATAAAATGCGGGGCCACAATGGGCAGCGACGGGGCCACTGAGGCCAGCAACGGGGCCACGAAGGGCAGCGAGCGAAGGCGACCGCGGAACCAGTACGGGCAGCGAGGGGCATCGAAGGCGGGCGAAGGGCAGCGAGCGGCGACTGCAGTCCCTAACGGGCTGGTCGGGCGGGCAGGCCCAGACGGGCGGGTCGAGCGGGCGGGTCGTTGAAGCGTAAATTCTGCTTGAACGGCCAGGCAATATGTAGCGGGAGCGCGATTCTTGAGTGTCGAGGAGCGGTATCTGAATCAATTGTGAGGAAGTATCAGGCGGGAGCCGCGATTCGGCGGTAAGTTGCGAGGAAGTCCCCAGCGAGCGCGCGATTCTTCAATACATTGTGAGGAAGTATCAGGCGGGAGCCGTTGTTGTTGTTGTTGTTGTAAACCGGGGGCCAACAACGCAGTTTAACCTTCAAGACTTTCCCTGATAAAAATCAGGGTGCGAGCCCCGGGAAGGGCACTTTAATTGAAAAACAATGTGCGCCGGACGGGGGGGATCAACAATAATTATTCTTCAGAGATGAGAATTCAACAACAACAACAACAACAACAACAACAACAACAACAACAACAACAACAACAACAACAACAACACCAACACCAACACCGACGACGACGACGACGACGACGACGACGACGACGACGACGACGACGACGACTGGAGGTTTTCGCCCGTTTCGGGCGCTACGGACCCCTCCCAGACTTCGGGACCGCCAACAAAACGACTCGGAATGAAAATCCGGTCCTGGGCCTGGGTCGGGACCTCTGAGGGTCGACGCCATGCAAAGGCACGACGCCGGATGTTTGGGGTGACGTCCACAGCCGAGCGGCCCGTCCACGGTCGGAGTGCAAGCCGCTTCCAGGCCTTGGATTCCTCCTCCATCGGTTCCTTATCCAGGCCAGCCACAGCTGGGGGAGCTGTGGTCCTTACCCCACTGGGGGACCCATCGATTTCGACACCCCTCTCGAGAGATCGTCGAGGCGATGGGTTCCCCCAGGGGGGTAAGGACCACAGCTCCCCCAGTTGTGGCTGGTCGGTTATCCATTGCCCTCACCGTGCGGGGCCCCCAGATGTCCCGCCCTTCTCCCGCCGGGCTGGCTGCCCACCCCGAGCGAGCCGCCCTGTGACGGCCCCCGGGGCCGGCCCAGCAAGGGCCTCTCCGAGGCCAGAAGCGGCCAGAGACGAGGCGAGTCCAAGACAGAGACACCATCGGACAGGAATCAGCCGTGAGGTTCCGGAGGAGGCGTCCGGTGCCGCGGCGTTCTGCTCCGAGGCTTCCGGAACGTTCCGAGAGCAATCCTCCTCTGTGGAACGCGCAGGAACGGCTTGTCGGCTTGTCCTGTGGAGCGCTGATCGAGCCCCTGTCCTCTTGGCCCTGCAGGGCCTCCGCATCGAGTGCTTCAGTGCTCCGGCTCCGGAGGTCTCAGGCACCTCCCGGGCGCCATGCAGGCCGTGAGCTCCCGTCCGTCGCTTGCGGCGCCGGCGCTGGGAGCACCGCCGCGCGCGGCCCCCGGCGCCGCGGCCGTCGCGGCGCGCCTGTCAGGAGGTCGGAGGCCGCGGGGGGCGCCCTCGGCGCGGCGGTTGCTCTTGCCGCGGGCGCTGGAGCGGCCGCCGGAGGCGCGCGAGTCCAGGAGGATACCGTGAAAGAGTCACGACCACAGGTTCTGTGGGCTCGGGGCTGGGACGGGGAGAAGGCGTTCCAGAGCGTTCCAGGGCGCTCTCAGAGCTTCGCCGCGGCGCCCGATGCATCCTCAGGAACGCTGGGTCTCAGAGACTCCCGATGAATCCCTGTAGTATTTTGCCCTTGTCGTGGATCCTTTTTACCTTTTGGCCGTCGAGAGCGACTCGGGATGATTCACGGATCCTGGGGAACGGGTCGATACATTTGGGGATCGACGTCTTGCAGCAACCATGACATTTGGTCGGGGGTGGACAGAACCCCCACCTTGACACGTCGATTAGTGAATTATCCGTGTTCGGTTCTCGAGAGGGCGCCGCGGCCGTCATTTTCAAGGCCTGCGCCCGCCAGGTTTGGGCCCGAGGCCGTTCTCACGAAGCCACGTTTAGCTAAAGGGGGTTCTGTCTGTCCATCCCCGATCTGGGGGTTTTGGGGGGGACGAGCGCCCGTTGCCGCCGGAGGCGCGCGACGACGGGAGGGAGAGGGGCTCGTTCTGCCCCGCCCTGGCTGCCGCCCTCGGCGTGGCGGCCGTCAGCAAGATCCGGTGGGCGCACTGCGTGAACTCGAGGCGGAGGCTGCGCAGGGCTCTGCTCGACGAGCGGGTGCACATGCTGGAGGTCGGCTCAAGAGTCGGGCGTGTCCCTCTGCAGGAGGAAGAGTCACAAACAGCCAGAAAAAAACAGTGTGGGGACGATTGTTTTTTTTACCACTTTTGACCACGCTGGGATATCTGTTTCAACTGTTCCTCTACAGGAGGAAGATTCAAACACCGTCCTAAAATAGTGTGGGGGCGATTGTCCTACCACTTTTGACTACATTGGAATCTTTTGTTCTACTAAAAAACAGCTTTCTAAAATCTGTCGTCCAAAATCCGCCTGTAGGGGGACATTCAGGAGGGGAAAAAACACAGACACAATTAATCGTCGATCCCCAGGAAAAGATGTGAAAATGTAGGCAGTGGGGGGGAAGACAAAAACCCAGAAAATATGGGAAAACATCGGGAAGCTTCTTATTTGTGTGTATTTCTTTGTGTGTCCCAGGGCCCCTTCAGACATGCCCGACCTAGAGGTCGACGTGAGCTTCGGCGAACTGCGCGCGCCCTCGGCAGCAGGCCCCGCCTGCGGCCCGGCGGCCGCTCGGGGAACGCCTGCGCCTCTCGGCGGCGGCTCTTGGGGCCCCGTCGCGGCGCACTTCCCGACCCAGCGGAGCTGATGGGCCTGTCTCCCACCACCGCCACCGCCACCATCAGTTGGAGGGGGGAAGGAAGAGGAGGAGGAGGAGGAGGAGGAGGAGGAGGAGGAGGAGGAGAGGAGGAGGGGGAGCAAGAGGGGAGGGAGGAGGAGGAGGAGGAGGAGGAGGAGGAGGAGGAGGAGGAGGAGGAGGAGGAGGAGGACCCCCTCCCCCTCCGACTTGTGGTGGCGATGGTGGAAAACAGGCCCAGCAGGAGCAGCGACCTGTCGGTCGAGGAGCTCCTCCGAACCGTCATGCAGCACAACGCCGGAGGCGGCAGCCCCAAGGGGCTCAAGTTGGACTTCAAGCAGCTCGGCTGCGTGCGGCCCGTCGTGGCAGCGGTGCTGGACCTGCACGCGCAGCTCTCCGCCGCCCGCGGCCCCGCGGCCGCCGCCGTCCTTCCCCCGCTTCTGCCCGCCGTGTTCTTCAACGCGGACGTTGGTGGGCCTGTTTTCCACCACCACCACCACAAGTAGGAGGGGGAGGGGTCCTCCTCTTTTTCCTTCTCCTCATCCTCCACCTCCTTCCCCCTCCAGTTTGTGGTGGTGGTGGCGGAAAGCAGGCCCATCAGACGTGGTGCGCGGCTCGTGCCTGATCCCGCGGATCACGGAGCGCCTGCAGGATCCGCTGCCCCTCGGCGAGTTCGTGCGCGACGTCGCGTCCGGCCTGGCGCCCGCGCAGCCCGGGCGCGTCCGCTGCGCGCTGTCTCTGGGCTGGACGCCTGGCCTGCCCAGCCAGAAGAGGGCAGATCGGCATAATCATACAGTGGGCGCGTCAGATACAGTCGGGGCGGTGAAGAAGGAACCCTTATCGTTGGGGAGGACACGGTGTTCCTTGATTGTTTTACAAGTTTTCTTAAGTGAGGTTTCCTATGAGAAATCGAAGTTTCACTCATGGGAAAAAGGGGCCTCGTTCCTTATTTAGGGTTCCTTCGGTCAACGCCCCGACGATCAGACATCGGCCTGCCAGCAGGTGCCCCAAGGGAACTGGTCGCCCGGGATGGCCCGCAGGAGCCCCGGGGCACCTTGTGGGACC